TTCAGTGGGCACTGGATCCCTTCGGATCTGGAGAACGTGTAACGCTATATACTGTTCAATAACTTTTGAACTTAGTACAAAGAAATTAGCCAGTTATTAGTAACTTGCGTGTCTATAACCAATACATACAAGTAACTCTGTTACTTCGATATGGGATGCGAGTTCAAATTTCCCTCTGCAAGGGTTGAAACTTTATTTCATAGCGTCGCTAATGAGTCTAGATGTGCAATCACGCACGCAGCACTTTTCTATACTAAGTTCGCTCTGATACGTACCATTTCCGACATCTCAATCACGTATATTAGGAATCGAATCATATCTCAGTGATTTGGGAATTTGACGTTCAGACCGCGAGATGGAGGGTTCGATGCTTACTACGACTACGAGAAGTAGAAAGCAGATATGAGTGGAGTTCTCCTAATAATACACAACTGAAATGAGTGGAGTACATCTTACCCTCTTTTCGTCCAGAAATGATTGCTTAGTTTGAAAACTAGACAATCATTTTGAGCCGGAAGAAGTAATAGTTTATGTGTTAGACGACTCACATACAAAGTGAATAAGAATAGAGCACACGAGGAATATGTACGTCTGTCTTCTTGAGATAATGAATTCAGAGAGAAGGAACCAAAGGCCAAATGGTAGAGAACACAACAACACCGATAGCAGCTGCCACGGAAACGGCCGATAACCGGTGGCTAATTATGGCCAAGTTGGGGTACCTTTTGCGGGTAGAAAGGGACATGAATGCGCCGGTGAAGGCAAAGTTTAGGGCCAGAACAAATGCATGGAACAAAGAGGGTTTATCCTTGAAGATCACCCTTGGCACCAGAACGGTACTATTCGTTGTTGATGAAAAGGAAGTATAACGGGAGTAATCTATCTGATCATAAGGCAGATACAAAAGAGCAAAGGCGGATAGGAATGTAATTACCAAAATAGCCTCGTCTATGTCAAAATGAATGATAAAAAGCTGTCTTGGAATTTTGGCTTCCATTCTCAATGAGCCTTAGCTGCATGAGAGGAGACGTGCGCGGCATCAAAATTTTTCATATCCAACACCTTATATAAGACCTTTGTTAAACAGAATACTTTGGAAAATTAATGCAAAATATTGGTTTAGGAAAGTTCCCGTGAAGCTTCCTTTGTCGTATCAAACTCGATGCTTGGATATAAAGTCTTTGTCTTTTATTATTTTTTAAAACAAAGTCTTGTCAATTAAAAAAAATAGAAGACTTAGCTGTAATCCAAAGAAAAAAAAAAAAAGACTTAGAAATTAGAGGTACCAAAGTCAAGCTGATTGAATTTATTATTTAAAGAATTTTATATTATCCGAATGTTCTCAACAAGTTCATTGTCGAATCAAAGTCAAGCATGGGTTAATTTTCTTTTCATTTTGCTTACATTTCCTATGGCTAATAATGGACTATATCAAAATGGTTAGATGAAACTCCAGTCCCTCTTAGTTTTGTAAAAGTTACTCGAAACAACAGTACTCTTTTTGATATCAAAATAAGGTAAGTCTCTTTCTGGATATCCGAAAGTGTGCCATCAGAAATTGTGCCTAGATCTCTTTTCTGAGTTATAGACATTTCTTTGAAAATTTAGGTTACTCTTTGGAACCCCTGATCTGTGGTATTAAGTGGAGCATTTGGTGAATCTTCTTAGAAAAAAATCAATCAGTTTGATTTTGATTAGAAAAAATCAACAAATACACGCGCAAGCAAAGCCAATATTGATGGGAAAGGGGGATGGATGACTTCCATCGATCATAATATATATTCAACAAAAAATTTCAAGTTCATGCTATCGTCATATGACTTTCTCCTCACAAGCTAGCAATGCTGATTGATCTAGCATCATTAATTAAGCAATAAATTAAGACATTGACAAAGGAAATCTCGCAAGGAATACAAATGACCGAGAATCAATATTTGTGTTTGAAAAATTTCTCCCAAGAAATGCCTGCAGCCTTCCCGGAAGGGATACTCACACAATTTCGGAGAGCGGAATGATAAGAAATCAGAAGATTTTGGTTTAGATTTAGTTTTCTGTATCTTGAATTTCTCATCTTCAAGTGATGTTTTTTCCAAAGAGCAGACAGACTTTCTCTCAATGGGAGGACACTAGAGAGCTATCTAATTGGCAGATCCTCTGTCTGATTCAAAACGTCTTTGCTAATTGGTACATTATATATTCATATTATATGAACTGAATCTTTGATGTTACGCTGAACACTGAAAACCCATCCAGGATTTCAAGCTTCAACACTATTTTCGCAAAACAAACTTACCACGTTTTTATGTGTCTTAATTTTTAAACCTTGTTATCCGCAATACACATTTATTCACACACTCGCACAAAAGTTGCACGTTTCCATATCATAAAAATCAAGCCACTAAGAAAATCACAAAAAACCATTGGGTGACATTCGATTATGATCACAAACGCACCTGAACTCTCTCTCTTTGGATCCGGATAATTAACTTCGATAGTACATGTGAATAACATCTCTTGCAAGATTGTGTTGAATTAATGTTCCCAAACATAGGTTTATTGCTCGATTAGGCTGGCAGGACAGATTACTAACAAGAGATAGATTGGTGATACTAAATTATCACATCCAAGATATCTCTTGTGGAAACATCAGCTCATCTCTTTGCATCATGTACGCTTGCCGTTGAGCTGTGGAGACGAATTGGTGATTAGTTAGGACTTAAAAGGCAGATTATTTGCTCTTAGGAAATGGAAAAATCTGGTGCAAGCCTGTAAATGGCCAAGAAATAAGCAAAAGCTGTTGTTCACTATTGTTGTTGCAGGAACTTATCACATATGGAGAGCGAGGAATACAACAATTTTTGAGAAAATGGTCCCCTACTGTGGAGGCTATATTTTTGAGATATAAAACAAGAGATGAAACGGAGAGTGATGGGATGTTGGACTCAACTGAAGGAGGCAATATTAAAGAGCTTGGGTCATGAACTATATTTATTGCACAGTTGATATAGCTAGATGTAATAGATCATTGAATTGTTGTAAGGAGGGGTAAAATATAATAAATAATTTTTTGCAGGGGCGAAAATTAAATATTTTCAAAATTTATAGGTGAAATTTTTTGACTTCCTCCGCTAAAATATGCAAGATAGATTGTGAAATTTGGTGTAGAGAGTTCAGTTTTGAAGATGAGATGAAATGAAACCTACATAAATTATTCAGTACAGTTGTTGTACCACGTAGGATTGTGCAGCCAGACATAATAATAGGGGTAAAGTAGTAATTTTGAAGGGAGAGATAATTTCTACGGAAGTTATATGACCAAAATAGAGGGATGCTAGTACTTGCTGCACTAAAAACCAGAATATTGTATCCAATAATTTTTTCCTATTAACGGAAAGGAAAACAAAATAAAATTAATTAATACCATCATAAATTTTTATTCCAACTTTGATTTTACTGTGGTTAGCTCTTGCTGGTATTTAGGCCACCAAAGATGCGCCTTGCCCCTTCTTTTCCATGGCCTTGACCAGCTCCTTCTCCGCGCCACTTGACTGACTGCTGATGGGTGATCTCCAATGGATGGATGGACCGTACCTATGGACATGTTGAATACAGTTCCCGCGTCGCACCCTTTCTTGTTCATTGCCTTGACGAACTTCCAACTCACCTTGCTGACAATCAATGGATGCACTCCAATGGCTTGTCACTTCTTCTGGACATGTTAAATATAGCTTCGAACAGATCCGTCGTCTGGTGGTAGCGTTGGTGTTTGTTCGTAAGGGAAAGACATCATTCACCTGGATGATGATGATGACGAAGAAGACCCACCAAAGCCATTTCCATCTCTCCAACAAATTTTGCTTTGGAGCTTTTAACTTCTAGAAGTACAAAAAGTTTTTAAAAAAAAAAATAAAATGAAAAGCTGGAGAGCTTTCCTCATTTAAATCTGGGTTACAAATTGCAGCACTATCTCTTAAATACTTTTCTTACAGTGCCAGTATGACAAATCGTAAATTGCAGCGGCACATTTCTGTGTCACTTTTGTTTCACGCTATGAAAAACTTCATTCAAATGCATCAATAAAATACTCTGCACGAAACTCAGCACAAGAACTTCATCCAGTTGCATCAATAATTTACTCCGCTGCACGAAACTCGCACAAGATCAACACAGAACTGCACAACTCTTGCAGCCATTTTACATTCGCAGGAACTTAAGTGGTAAAAGAATAAGAGAATCTAATTCCTTTAGAGAAATGTTTATAATCATCACTTTATCTAACAACAAAATTTTTGATACATTCCAATGCTATGAAAATATACATGTAAACTACTCATCTCCGACTTGAAAGTTGACATTTTACATCCGCAAAGCTAACTACTAATACAAATATGATATCTGGCATCAGTCTAACCACTGCACATGTAAGACTCCAGTCCCAAACTAACGAAGTAAGCTATAGTTAGTATACTGCACAAAGTGATAATGGCTGCTGAGTAGCAGTAGCAGGTTGAACAATGAACCAATTTTGGGATCATCAGCTGTACAGTTTCATCAAAAACAAATTCTATTAGCCTGCAAAAAAAAGAAAAGACAGAATATCAGCTCATCCACCAACATCAAAGATGAAAATAACTTACAATTCCTTAATCTTAAAACATCAGAATATTCTAAGTGAATGACAACAACCGGAAGTGCTAATTAACACCATAGCAAATTCAGTGAAAAATTGCACAATAATAGCACAGAGTATGCACAGTTGAACTTCCCCAAGAAAAGTGCGAAAAAATTTTTTAGAATGAGATTATTAACATGGAAGCAAAGTCTGAAAAATCAACACAAAAATTGCGCAGAGTACGCACAGTTAAACTTCCCAAAGAAAAGTACGAAAGCTTTGTTTAGAAAGTACTTAACTTAGTAGTGTTTCTATAGGGAGTTTCTCAAGATAAAACGGGATTTTACCTGTTTTTGGGAAGACATAAAGGCGAAAGGTTACAAGTCAGCTATTGCCATGGCTGGGATAATAAGACAGAAGGGATTGATGCCTCTAGACCCTGTTTCCCATGGACAGCATATTTTAGCACTTCATACTGTTCAGTAACAGAATCATATAATGCATGTGTATATGCTGTCTTAGCCTGCAACACAAAGATGGCCATTCATTAAAAGCCGACAATTTGTAGTATAATCCTAAGGCTTACTTACATATTCTAGCATAAAATAATATCACGAAATTGCTCTGAGTGTTCAAAACAGCATTTTGTACTATCCAGACATAATATTACAGGAAAATGTTCGAAATTCAAACCTGGTCAAGGAAAAATTACAGAAGTGTAAAAGATTTCAAAAGAAGATAGCAAACATAATCAAGATTTCACACTAAAAAAGTAATCTAAAGCAGAATACACAACAATCAACATACAAATGCATATAAGCCATATCATGCTAATAACCTTTTCAGGGTCGTCTAAGGAGGCAGCAAGGTCATGGAAATCGATTTCTGCTCCAACTGACAATCCCGTTCCATGGAAGGATATCACCCTTTTCTCGCCAATTTCTTTCTCAACCTTGAAAAAGATTTCAAGTTAGATGAGATCATCATGTAAATTGCACAACGAGGTGAAGTAATATGTTACCTCTAGTGGAGGAGGCATAATATCATGGCACAAGATTGCCAACGGATACAAGTGACCCGGAACACCAGCATGTTCAACAAGCCTTCGCATGTTGTCCACTGATGAAAGATCAAATTGTGCCTGAAAGATCTTATACAAGTTAGTGAATACTATGATGAACCTGTACACAAAAAGAAAATTTTAAAAATTAAAAAAATACTACGATGAAAATTCATGGGAAGCTTCACAGGGAAGAAAAGAACGGAAAATTAAAAAATAGAGCAAAAAAAAAACAAGGGCAACCATAGTGCAATTACTGGGCTTGCTCACCCTTATATTATTATTATATAGTAGTGGTAGCAGTAGTAGTAGTTCAATCTGGAACAAAATACCAGGAGGCTTCAATGGGAAAAAGAAGAATGGAAAATCAAAAAACAAAGCAAAAGAAAAAACAAGAGCAACCATTGTGCAATTATTGGGTTTGCTCACCCTTACATTATTTACCCCCTCAAAAAACGAAATAAATAATCCAAAGCATGTCTCTGGAACAAAGTACAATTTGCACATTCTGAAATAAATAATTCAAACAAACAGCAGGGACTTCATGCCACAAACAGAATTCGTATAGAACTACATGGCCATCACGATCAAAAGCAAGCATATCCGCGGATGTGGGGTTTCAAAGAAAGTCGTATTATATACAGAAAAAAAAGAACCTAGATATCCAACCAATAACTTCTTCAGTCTTAGTTCTCAAGAAGTTATATCAAGTCTATATGCTTTTTAGCATTGCAGAAGTTTGAAGTAAAAGGAAAAAGGCTTACAGGGTACCATTCTCCAGTATGAGGGTCAGGCCTGTCCCTTCCACCACTTGGTGCAATCCATATCAATGCTGATCCAGCCCTGGTCCCAGAAAATATTAGTCTCAGTAAAACATCATTGATAGTATAAAGCAACTATATTTTGTAAACAAAGGAAATGATTGGATACAGAAGAAATAAGCCATTGACAACAATATTACGATATAAAGTAAATGTCAAAGGTGCAAGATTCATTTACCTCCATTTCAGAAATTTTCTAACTATGTTTTTAGTGTGTTAAATGCAAAATATGAATGAAAAGCCACTTTTTGGGCAGGGTATGAGCTTTCGAGGCAGAAAAGGCTTACACAAAGTATACCTACAGGATTTAAAACCACAGAATAGTATAAATCATAACAAAGACAGAATAAGAGGAGAGCAGGTTCACCAGAACAACAGTTTCTACTATCCTTTAAATCAAATTTTATACGTAGTGATGTTGCTAAGCAAATAAACAGTTAACACAGAGGAGAAATCCGTGACAAGTCCTTTAATCCACGAATAGATCATGAAACTTCAAAACTGCAAACTAACAATGTTATAGAAGACATTCTCTAAAACCATTTTACCCATTCTACTCGTCTGCCAGATAAATCATCTTATAATGAGAGAATGACGATAATGCTGATGGTTCAGTGGGCAGGTAATGAAGGTGAAACATTGACAGTTTGGACATATGAGTGAGACAATGTTTGGCAAAAACTTGACTAGAACAGTCCTACTGACCATGATCCAAAATTTTGACACAAGTCTAGCCTGCCATGATTAATTTAAAAATAAATTGGGTTAAGTTGACCGACGTAACACATAATAGGATAAAAAAGTTCCCGTGGCAAACTAGCATTGGTGTAGGGCTGGTCAGCCAACGGTTGCAGCCACCTGCTGAATGCCAGATTCTAGTAGCCCAACAGTGGCATGCAGCCAGCATTCACACCCCAAAGAAAAATCTAAATATTTATTATGCAAACTTCAATTGAAAAAGATCAATTATTAACCCCCCAAGGATCAATGAAATACTTCATTTTTAAAATGTTCGTGTGGTGGCATTTAGATTCATTGAAATGCTATGTTCTTGTAACACGTGGAAATATGGGAGGAACATAAAGTTAAAAGCAATAATATACCTCAAAAGCAATGCCATTTCCTTCAAGCTTTTCGTGTTTGCTCTTCGTTTCATATCAGCCAGCGCAGGAACATCATTCATATGCTTCTTTGAATAAACACAAAGCAGATTCCTAAAAAGGATGTATCAATATAGATTGACTAAGAGGGATAAGCGTGACTACAGAACAAACTTCTCAAAGTATTCAGAGGAATGTACCTTCCCATGCTGAACGGCTTACAAAGAGGATCAGTGATAACTCTATCGCCAGCTACATAGATCTGCATTGAAAGGACTTGATGTTTAGAGTTTCAATCTAATCACAAATGAGGATGAATCAATAAATCTTAGCGACTCAAAATATTTCACCATGTTTTCAGCCAGATCAGGATGTGTTGACTCCAACAGCAAAGCAATGACAGCTGGATCTGCTTCAGTTTGGTGGTTCGACATCATCACAATGTTCTCCCCCTAGAGTTTTGATTAAAAGCATGTGGATTAATTACATCATACACACAACTTAGAAACCACACAAAACATGGGTAGATTATAAAGCTGATACATGTTAAGTTCCCAATACCATGTCAGTAACATCTCATAAACACCACGTGGGGGTGGTGTTGTTTCTGGGTACCTTGTCGGCCGTGGGTGATTTTAGGCGTCTAGATTGGACGCCTGTACTCGGATAGTTAATCAATTGCATTTATGAAATCTTAATAGTTTCGCGCCACAATTACAGTGATCGAATTTTAAGAACATTATATTATAAACAACAATTACAACATGGTGAGGAGAGGTGGTTAACAAGGTTCTTGCAGAAAGAGGGGATCAGCAAATAAGATGCAATGTTATAATCAAATGAAAACTAAAGTAAAAGGAACACACCCGTTGTAGCTTCACCCTTATATCATCAAAAAGAGAGAGATTGCCGATATAGGAGTTCCTGTAAAGAGATGAACAGGTAGCTCTCAGTTTGCATGTAACTCACGCATTCAACAAGAGAAAACCTTGCCACAAACTTTATATCATTCCACAAGAAAAAATGGAAAGAAGATGGTCCATTTGAAGATGAACTGAAGGTTTAAACTAGCCCAACGCATTCATATTCCATTGTTTTGCCAGCACGTAACCCAACCCTTAAGAGATCTTCAACTGGAAACAAGGCTCTAGGGGAAAGACCACCATCGGGATCAACTCTTGACCATATATCATAACAAGAGAGAGATCTAGCTAAACTTAGATATATTGTTTCTGAACAGAAGCCCAAATCAAAAAAAAAAATAAAAAATCATGATGCATGGGCCTCTAATCTATGCTTAGATCAGCATCTTCCAAATACATTCTCCTCTTCTATCAGTAAATTGTTTACCTAAATCTCAAAGCTTATGCACACCGAAATTAATGATCGACGGAAAGGGTCAGTTATCAATAGATTTTTTATATCATCTTAGCCAGGGTGGGGCCAGGGGATGTTGAATTTCTGCAGTTAGTACGCACTCGGATGGCAGTATGTGTATATGGCACGACATTAGGTGAAACATTATGGTCGAATACCATATGAGCCGAAAAAGCTAACTAGATGGAAACGAAGATACACAAAAACTAGATTTAAAGGAGAACAGCAAAATTTAGTCTCCTCCAGAATCAAAATGGAAAAAAAATGTTACAATAAAAGCACGACTGTGCCAAACGCTCATAGCATAATTGGTTTCCATTTAGAGCGGAATCTATCTTAACAAGGTTAACCAGATCTAGTGCATACTAGCTGTGCAAATTCAAGTTGAACTAGTTTGGCATGACAAACTTAACTTTCACCAATCAAATTCACACCAATCAAACTAAACCTTCTCAAACAAGACAAATATGAAAACTGGTACCCACCTGAAATCAATCAATGGGCGGATATAGTTTTGGCCAAAAGTGTAGTAGTCAAAAGGTTCACGAATAGCTTTATGATACGATGAGAATTCAAAAGGATCCTGAAAAAAGAATGCAAAGCACTCTGATTGCAGTTACAGAAAAATAGAGACGCTTAAAATGCAGCAGGCAGGATGCATGTACCTTCACATCCACGAAAATGCGATCAAATAGCATAGACATGTTAGACAGTGCAACCTCAGGTGCTTTTGAATCCCCACTTTTGAAAACCTGAAGTCGATATTCACACATTAATTGCAGGAGATTTCACTCAAGCCTCTGTAGTAACCAACTACGATTGCAAGGGAAAGGTATGAACGAAAGAAAGCAGCTTCACCATCCATTATTACGGCCCTTGAGAGGAAGACAGTTTATTGAGAATCAAAAACTACCAAAAATAGACATGGTTTCACGCAATTGCATGAAACACTTGGTAAAATACTTTTAGGAAAAAGTAATGTACCCATTACAGACTTCTGAATTGAATTTCAATAGTAACAGCAAAGTGTACGAGTTCAACATGTCTTCGTATTGTATCTTCTTCTTTTTGCCATTACAATTAGAAAACAGATTACCAAGATATCATAAAGTCTCCACAAACAATACGCAACAATTTTACAAATCCTACAGACTATCAAGTGAAAAATAGCACATATACAAAAGCCGCACTAGAAGTGGGCAAACAAACACTTATGCAAGATAACTTAACAACCCAGTTCAATTAGAAAGGAAGATTCAAAAGAGCGACAATATAACAGATATAACTGTTATACTTAAGGATTTATGAAAATGATAATTGATAGAAAAGCATGTGTTTCTCCAGAGTAGAAGTCGATCCAATTTCACAGCTAGAAGTGTTGTGCTAGAGCTCTACACACATCAACACGAAAAGAACACAAAAATGGAGGAAAACTGCACAGCAAACAGTAAAGTATATAGTTTGACAATAGCTAAAGTATCAAAACCAGTAACATCATGGAGTGCTTCAAGTACAGTATATAGTGTAAAAATTCAAAATACATTACATTTAATAAAAATCTAAGGAAGGTTATTTACTGCATTTCGATAATTCTGATACAGCTCCTCCATGCTACGACTAATATTCAAGGAGATCCTTCCAGATTCTGCTGCTTTTCTAATCCCATAAAGCATTTCTGCAAACATTAGATTTTGGATGAGGAATGTGAAATTTCACGGGTACCAAAAGCTATTGCATATCAAACTTGCTCCACAAGTAATGGGGAACGGGGGGGTAATTGAAAATAGACGGAATAGGCAAACCCTAGCTATAGGGATTTTAGAAAGACAGAGTCTTTGAAAGTTTCAAAAGCTTGGTTTTTATAAAATTTATCAGTGCATAACAAAGCTGTAGAACCTCTCTATTTATAGAGAGATCCTGAGTAATCCTAACCCTAATAGGCTTACTAATTTCCTAAATCTTAGGACTTAAACTGACGTCAAATAAAATACTTAACTAAAAGGAAGTTGCTTAGACTAATAATTTATTATTAAGGCTATCTCTGAAATCTTTCTGCATCAACAAGTAACTAAATTTGAGGAAACCTGAAGAGTGTGCAAGTTTAAAAGAATGCCCCCTTCCAGTGGTACATGCAACACTTCAAGCACAACAGTAGGAAACAAAATCTAGATATTCACTCTCAAATATTCATTTTAGGTAAATTTTAAGGACTAAATCAATATTTGGGTATGAAAAGAATAATACTTGTTCTAGGACACTTGCAACAGTAAACACGATTAACTTTCAAACTCAAACTCCTCTCTGCTTCTTTATTTCCCTTGATATCAATACATTTACCTTCTTTCTACTACTCTTTGAGTAGCATTAGTCCCAATTCAACATTAATTATCTTCCATGTCATTTAAGGAAATTACTGTTGGTGACTTGGTGTTACTTTTATATTGAATTTATTATACACAACTATATCCTGATTTATGACTGTTCATGCAAAATGGACATAGTCTACCCATTTTGATGCTTCGTTTCATCCTTGTTGTAGTTTTAGGATGCACCATACTAGGATAACTCATTAAAGTCAACTCAAAATACCTGCTAACTCATTAAAGTTAGGGTTAAGCAACGAAACATGTAATACCTTCATAGACTTTCGGCAAAAGCATACCAAAATCCTCACAGCACCATTTTTTATTTTTTTTAGTTTTTGACAGTGGGTAACCAGTTTAAATATCTCAGGTTACTTAAAAATAAAAATTTGGATTTAGCAGACAAAGCCATCTGTTTGAACAAAATGAAATTTCACGGCTTTAGTCTATTGCACACTTGTCTTTGATCCAAGGCACTTGAACTCAAAAGGAGAAACCTGTTGCACACGTCTCAGACTAGAAATATATAACAAGTCCATTCTGGATGTGCATCTACCTTCTGGCACAACTTTGGAAACATAGATGGTGATCGCATCCTTGAATGTTAGCTGTAACTCTCTAACAAAAAATATATTTCCATACTACTACACAAGCTATTATTCCCCAATTAAAGAAAAGTCAAAGCCACATTCACGAGAAGCAGATCAGTTCCTCGAAAATATGGTTGTGCAGAGGGCAGATTGAGCAGAAAGTTACAGTATATGCATCATAAACAAAAGCAGAACATGTAAATGCTGGTGAGGCCATTTCCACATAGACCCCCAGGTCAAGAATAGGAATTAATCGCTTCCACAAAAAACAAGACAAAAGAAAAGCCAAAATCTTATACTGGTCTAAGGGACCCAATCAAAAACATTCTTATTTTGTATCTTTCACAGTAAGGGACAAAGAGATTCATATAATTCAGACGAAACATTTGGTAACATTCCCTAGTTGTTGTCGGAATAATTGTCATAAACTAAAAAGTAACAGTGCACCAGACCAAAAGAATTGAAACTGTAAAGCACTAGAAACAAGAGGAGAACAAGCAAGTAAAGAATTCTCCTGCAAACAGCCAGGTGATACCAACTGGCGCACATGTTCCTAACACACAATGAGCTAAAACTATGCAATTGGTTTGACTCTTCCAAATCCAATAATACAGCGATAACAGAACTGTAAACCCACAACAGACCAAAAGTTTCATTTTTGCGGCTCCCAATAATACAGCGATAACAGAACTGTAAACCCACAACAGACCAAAAATTTCATTTTTGCGGCTCCAAATACCTTTCAACGGTAGCAAAGTCAAATCAACACACAAGTAGCCTTGATGGTCCTAGAAACAATCAGCACATAAGTAAGCTTACAAGTAGCCATGAAGAGAAGAGAGTGTATGGGTGCGTGTGTGGGTGTAGGTTACATGTGCAGACACACATAACAAAATGTCTTACCTTGTGCATGTACATACCACATTACAAAATAGGAACTAAACCGATGTGTGATCGCAAGTTATAAACCTACTTCAGGAGATATACATATTCATTTCCATGGACGCACAGCATAAACCCCGATGTCAGAATACTGACCCAAATAAACATGCATCGAGTATATGTAGAGATGGACTGGCAGTGCATATTGAGCACAACAATCAAATAAGTTATTGAACATCAAGCAGGCAGCCAATATTTGTAATTTATCCATGCATTCGGCATTAATGACTTGTGAGCCAACAAAATTTATAAATACCATGTGAATACTAACACCATGATAATGAAAATTTTAATGGCCAACATGGTCGAAAATAACGAGTAGCGGTATTTGTAAACTGAACATTATTAAAACCAAATTATAAGTCATATAAGTCTATTCAGATGGTCTAAAAGAATGAGTGGCTGTATTTGTAAAATAAACATTATTAAATCCAAATGATAAGTCATATAAGTCTATTCAGTATCATTCACAGGATGAAAACTCCGAGCAAAAAGTTACGAACATAATCAAACACATATCCGTAGAGGAACGAACCATCTATTTTTGAAACATTAATAAATTTGTAGTCCCCAAATGCTACACAAATCATCATCAATTTCTAAGTAACATCCATCACAATTGAGCATGGAAAAGTGTAGTTGAATACTTTACAAAATAGACTCCGAAATTTTAGCGGAGAAACCGTGCGAAAATCTCCACAAGGCAGGACAAACGCGTTAGCACATGTGAAAATAAATAGCAAGAAATCACCAACGGCCAAACAGATTGAGCAAAAACATCCATCAAATGTCTACTAGCACAAGCATTAGCAGAACATGCAGGAGTAAAACACAAACCTTCTTCACTGCGAAAATCAACGAAATTGAGCGGGAGAGATAATTCATCAGAGGTAGAGCAGCTGGAACTGGAGCCAGAAGCCTCCAACGCCGCCGCAGCCGCGGTGGTGGAATCTCTCCTCTGATTAACATCACCGAATTCCGCCATTCCTCTCACCGACTTAGAAGAGGCAGCGGCGGCGCGCAACACCAAGTCGAAAGAAGTAACAGCACCATTAGAACTGCCTGAGAAGACGAAAGAGCTCCTAGAAGCAAATGCTGTGGCGGTGGTGGAGGAGGTGGTGGAGGCGGTGGAAGAATGCCTCGCCGCCGCTAACGCGGATGACTTGAGAAACGAAGTACACGAAGTAGGCGGAGGAGCAGAGATGATCACCATACCGAGAATCTTTTAACGGAATGCGGAGTCGGTTACTGTGTGACTGTGTGTGGCGGAGGAGGAGAAATTTGAAAGACTGGAATAAAAAGTGAGGTGGTGAAGTATGTGAGTGTGTGTTTGTGTGGGGACTCTGGGAAGAGGGAAAAAAGGGGAAAAGGGGCAAGGGGAGAGTGGCTCTTATTGAATTGAAGAAACGTAAGTATTATTGTTAAGGTGGAAAATTACTGGGTGCGCCTGGAGTGCACGGTAAGACGGTAGGGATCCGCACGTGCTTTTCAGTCGCCCAGTAGAGAAGGGCTAAAATCTGATGCTGATAGATTCGGCAGGGAAGAGTGAAGTCTTATCGGGTAATACGTGGCAAACTGATTAAGGTCAAATAGGTCATTTAGACGAGTATAATGGCGTAATCTAATTGTAATCTTGCGGGGTTTTCTTTCTCTCTTTTCTTTTGGCTCTATTCAGAATTTCTTCTTGGGAAATGCAATTTCCGGATAGAGATGTGCAGAATTTCGCGATTTTGTGATAGAACTATAGTCTTGCGTGTAAATTTTTTATATGTCATTTAGGTTTTAGCTTCTTTTTTTTTTTGGTTTTGGTTTACTATGTTCTTATTATTATGGTTTACTATGTTCTTATTATTATCATCACATGATGATAGGTCACTGATACGGAGTACTTTGTTAATTAGAGAGAAATGAAGTTTACGAGAGGTCAGTGACGAATTTAAGTGGAACATGTAATAGGCTTTTAAGCTTTTGAAGCCAGCTGCTGGCGGAGTTTTCTTCATCACATTTCAATTGAGATTAAGATCACATTAATGCTCTTGTTTGTGCATTGCCATTTACTGTATGCTTCCTCTCGTAAAACAAAGACTAAACACCATCAGAATTTTTTTATTTTTATTTTTTTTTTGTTGAGGAACCATGCATGCTATTATATAGTATTAAGAGGGCACGTACTACACTTAAATTAATCACAATTAATTTATCTAGAAGCTTTGGACACAGGCTTTCTAAACATAAACAATCCGTACAATTTGAGTGTTAACAATTAATGTTTTACTTATTCATTTTTCTTTTTTCATATTACAGAGTGTTCATCATCGACAACAATGACTAATTCTCTTCACTCATGGTAAGTAACTCGATAGATGGTAGAGTTAGTTAAAAGATTTAAAGTTGCTCCATGCTTATGATAACTTGATTTCAAAAATCACTAGCAATGTTATTCCAGCTTGTCAGCATGATTTAATCATATACTATTCATATTCATGAAAGAACAATGATTTAACTTCAACTAAAAAACAAATTCTAACCGTCCATACTTACACTTTCACTTTTGAGGTTTATCCATTCAAGAGTTAGGGTTAGAGGATAGTTAAACTTTAGCCATATAATTCCCTACTAAAATTTCCTATAATTTTTTCCATGCATGTATTAGCATCCTCAGCGGCGGAGGTACATTAAAGTTGGTGGGGCAAATTTTAGGTTGTTTTTCTTATAAAAATAGATTTTGCCCCACTTAAATTAACAATATTAAGGAGTAAATATATTAAATAGATATTAAAAATTTTGCCCCATCACTTTTTGGGGGCTTAACTACGCCCTGAGCACCCTTTACGAAATTGCAACTTATTAAGATTGTCAATCATTTATAAATGATCCATTTAAAGAAATTCATGGTTAATTATTGATTGATATTCCCTCTGCCAAAAAAAAAATAGTGCATATTAAATTTTCAAATTTGTTATGTTTTTTTTTTCAGAACGAAGGGAATAAAACAGTAATATAGTTATACATTTGTATTGCCTTGATGAACATGTAAAAAAGACTAAATACTCCTTCCGTCCCAAAAAAATAGTCAAATTTTAAAATATGCAACTTTTTTAATTTAGTCAACACACCAAATGTACAACTCATTTTATGCCCATAACTTCCACTAATGTCCCTTCTAGTTATTTCTATAAAAGCTAACTATATATGGATTTATTTTACAACTTAAATTTGATCAAAATTTTTATCTCAAAAAATATTGACAATGGATCTTGATGGAGAGATCTCATTACATAGATTAATTTGATATATAACATATTTTTTAATTATTCATGTATTAAAATATATACTCATTTGAAAAAATGAGAGAAAACTAAAAAAAATGAAAATCAAAGGAAATGGACCTTATTTTCCTTACCACTACTCTTTTAGATATTTAAATCATTTCAATTTAATTAATTTTGACTTTTGTGAAACTTGACTATTTTTTTGGGACAAATTTTTTTTATTAAACTGGACTATTTTTGTGGGATGGGGGAAGTAATTAATCTGATAATCCAAACTCATGAAAATCCAAAGTAAATTCAACCAATAGAAAATATGAGTTTTTAAATTTTGATAATTTTGTCCGAAAAAATAGTCCACATTAATTTTTAAGATTTATACTAGTTTCAGTACAAATTTGAAAAACTTAATATGTATTTTTTTAAAACATAGGGAATACTATTTTCTTAGTCGAATTTGGAGAAATTGTTCTTCTGCAGCAGCACTCATCATTATTGTGGAAGTAGTTCCGGTTCATCGCATTCGGCTAGTGCATGACTCGTTTAATTTTGAAATTACACTTGGGTTTAATCAACAAGCATTTAATTACTTGGCCTCTTTGTTCTAATCAAATTTGAAAAAGAAAAAAAAAAAAGTCCCCAGTTGCCTACAACTCTATTATTGAAGGGGTAGTGATTAACGTAAGGAACCAAAAGCCAACACCAACGATATTTCTTATGACACGCGCACCCACGCGCCCCAAAATTTCTCCTCCTTCCATGCTCCCGAACCCCAGATCTGCAACTCTAAATTTGCTATTGCTCCATTAATCAGACCCTGCAATCCATCATTCGAGTATCTATAGAGCATCCACATGCTTATATTTCTTACAATTTCAACTTAATCGAATATTGGTTTCTTTCCGCTCGATGAAGAAGGGGAATGTGAAGTCTTTTAATCCCATCGCAGGTAGCAGTTCGAGCTTTGGCAACCAACAATGGAAGCGGCGACCTGAAAAGACAGCTCCGCCATCGAAGCATCAGAAGACATCCCAGTTTCCTTATGCTCAAGAAAGAGAGGTACCCCCAAAGAGACATCCGGTGATCCCGATCAATGAAATTTGGATTGCCCAAAGGGACGAGTGCATAGCTACCTAAAATATGCTCAGAATCTTTTTAACAGTAGTGCTATGGTGGAAGTTGTCATAGTTGCTATGGGTACAGCAACCGAAAGCCGTGCTAAGTGTCGAGTTGCTCAAAGGAAAATAAGCAACCTTGTCCAGGTGACATCCATCTCTTCTACTGCTATGCCAACTCCAAAAAATAAATTGCTATTAAGTTCCTTGAAGAATATACCCACTATTTCTATGGTTCTGTCGAGATGTTCTTTGGATAATGCAAAGCCTACAATTAGGAAACATGATAGAAGGGAATATAGCAATTGGAGTTGGTCACAATCATCACTGAGGGAGAAATCTAATTGTAAATCAAAGAAACCAAAAATGTTGCAGGCGTGGCGAAAAGTGATACCCGATTTGCCTATGGAAATAGATGCTACTAATGGCACTATAAGAATGGATAGGAATGGTGTTGAGCCTACGATGTCCAGCTCCCCCATATCAGAGGGCACACTCGAACCTCAAAGAGGAGTGAAATCAGTCTATCATTAGGACTGGTTCTAAGCAGCATGATCAACTGAAGACGAAAGCTCCACAACTTATTTACGGGACCGATGCAAATAAACTGTGGAATGGAAGAAAGATCTTTTGTTTAGTGAGGCAAGTGAAAGTCAAAAAATCTGGCATCAGCTGGTTGGAAAAATTCAGAAGATTACCAACAATTATCAAAAGAAATTTGCGCATCGCATGTACCTCCACGGGTCTAGATGCCTCCAACTTAACCAACAAGAGGAAAGCAGAATCAAATATAGAGGGGAAAGAAGCACCTTGCAAAAAGAGAATGTTGACAAGTTTATGGGCACCAGAGCTTGCCAAATCAGGTGCCTTTGCTTGGACTAGATTTGCAAAAATAGAGGCCACCAAGGGGTCCTTCGTAGCCACGACTTTCAGCAGTTTACAGTTTGCTCCAGGGGAAGGTAAGTTCCCTAACATCCTGAAGTGTTTTGTGGTGGTTGAACCAAATCAACTGTCTTTGGTTTTATGAATATTATATCTTGGAATTGTAGAGGTATGAATAATGCCTCTACAAAGTTCACTATGAATAGGTTAGTTAGAATATATAAACCTAGTATTTTCTTTATTATGGAAATAAAAGCAAGTAAAGACCAAGTTGTAGCTTGGCAACAATCCTCTCTTTTTGTCAACTCTTTTGTAATAGACCCTATTTGGCTTAGTGGCGGTTTAAGTCTGTTCTGCCTTGATGGTGTTAAACTTGATGTACTAGTTCATGATCCAAATGTAATAATAGCCAAAGTGCAGGAAGTCTCTGGATTAGAATGGCTAGTAGTTTTTGTTTATGGCTTGCCTTCTCACCAAGGAAGGGCCAACTTTTGGTCTAATCTGAATAACAACCATCAGCTCTTCACATTCTCCTAGTGTTGTAGTTGGTGATTTTAATCAAGTTATCCATCAAGAGATAAACTTGGTGGTAGGCTGGTTAGGGAACAAGATACTAGATGCATCCGACATTTCCTTCATCAAAATAACCTCGAAGAGTTGAGGCATCTAGGTTGTTGGCATACTTGGACCAACAAAAGGCAAGACTCACAAGCAATTTTTGAACGTTTGGACCGGGCTTTTGTGAATGCACAATGGCTTCAACATTTTAAAAAGGTTGTTATTTGGAATCTCCCTATTACAATTTCAGATAATGGTCCTGTCTTTAGAAACTTAAATGACAAAAGTTGCAAAGTGAGGAAATGGAAGAAGTTTGAGCAGTTCTGGTCCAATTGCAGTCTAGCTACAGATATCATCCAAACCAATTGGTTACAGGACAATCTAATGATTGAGTCCTCCCAAGAGAAATTGTCATATAAACTACAAGGAAGTTTATCCAGCTTATATAAATGGAGTAAGGTCCGGTTTGGCCATGTAGATCATCATATTACAAAGCAATCGAATATTCTGATGTCATTACAACAGAGATGGGAAGTTGATATTCTGATGTCATTACAACAGAGATGGGAAGTTGATAGTGCAAATGATCACTTGTTCTTTCAACTTCAGCAACAAAGAAATAATGTGGAGGAAGCCATGCTATTCCAACAGGACTTTCGGCATCAGAGAGCCTAGATCAATTGGTCTTTACATAGAGACCAGAACACCAAATACTTCCATCGATGAGCAACAAGAAACAAGGGCAACAAGTGGATCACAGAGTTAAAGAAAGAGGAAGGGGTTTGGGTCCATGATCATAGGGGTCTAGTGTATATCATTCAGAATCACTTAGCCACTTTATACCAGGAACCCTCTCATTTGCATCCGCTGGATTCGAACTACTTCAAGCACCGCCTCAGTGGGGTGAAGGAATGTCTGACTGACTCTCAGATCACTCAGTTGACATATCCTTTTACAGTGACAGAAGTTTGGGAGGCAATAAAACAGATGGCCCCCTGAAAATCTCTGGGTCCTGATGGCATACCGGCGGGGTTCTACCAAAAGTACAAGCAAATTATTGGACAAGAGGTGGAGGCTACAATACTGAGGCAATTCACAATCAACAATTTCCAGCTGAATGGAATCAAACGAATCTGGTCCTTATACCCAAAGTATCAGCTCCATCAACACTGGCAGATTTCAGGCCAATAAGTCTTTGCAATACAAAGTACAAAATCATAGCTAAGATGATTACCAACATGTTGAAATCTGTCATGAATGACCTGATTGATGAACATCAGAATGGTTTTGTGCAAGGAAGGAATATAAGCGAAAACATTCTTATTGCCAATGAAATGATTGGGCATATCAGGAAAAAAAAGGTATACTCGGATTGGTTGCAGTCAAGCTTGATATGAGCAAAGCCTATGATCGTGTCTCCTGGCCTTTCCTTCAGCATGTACTCACCAAACCAAGTTTTCCACCCAATCTCATTCAGCTCATTATGTATTGTGTCTCCACAGTCTCATATTCAATCAAGTTTAATGGTGAGGGGCATCGATTCTTTTTGCTAAATAGAGGCCTGAGGCAAAGTTGTCTATTGCCACCATACCTGTTTATTTTGTGCCAACAAATGTTATCATCAGCAATCATGACTGAATCTAAAAACTTCAAAGGACTGGGGATCCAGGTTTGTAGGAAGGCTCCAAGGGGTAGTCATCTTATGTACGCAGATAATATTCTGTTTTTTTCTAGAATACAATGAGGCATCTGTTCAAGCTCTTGTTGGTATAATTGAGGAATATGCAGCCTTTTCAGGACAAAAAAATAAATTTTGGCAAATCCTCCATCTTGCTAAGTCTCAACACTAGGTTAGACATGAAAGATTTCATCCATACTACCTTGAAGATCCCAGAAGGCCAGTTCCAAAGCAAGTATTTGGGCCTATCATTGGATTTCAATGAGCAAAAGAAGGTCATTTTTCAAACCTTCACTTCCAGACTCTCTGGAAAATTTGCAGATTGGAAAACCAAACTCCTCACCCTCAGTGGAAGGATCACATTAGCAAAATCATCCCTGGCTTCCATGCTCACATATCCTATGGGCGTTTTTCAACTTCCAGCTGCAACCATTAACAAGGCGGAATCAATAATAGCACGATTCATATGGAAAGGGGACCACTCAAGCACCGGCATTCATTGGAAATCCTGGAAGAAGATGAGCAAGTCTCAATTTCATGTAGGGCTTGGCCTTAAATCCATGAAGGAGTTCAACCAAGCTCTACTCGCAAAGCATGCCTGGAAGATAATGTCACACCCAGAATCCCTGATTTCCCAGATGTACAGAGCAAAGTATTGTCCAAATGATATCTTTCCTCATTCAAACCCCCTAAGGAATCTCTCTTGGGGTTTTAGGGGAGTTTTGTGGGGTGCAGAAATTCTAAAACATCATGTTAAATGGAAGGTGGTGTCGGGACGAAGCATTCATCTAGCGGACAACTGGATTCCAGACCATCCCAATCCAATTCAACTGGGTTCCTTACTAGCTACTCTTTCTAACCTAAGAGTCAACGATCTCATTAAGGATAATGGGCAATGGAAGTTGCCTACCATCCGCCAGTTTTTCCCGGCACATTTAATCCCACATATCACTGGGATCCTTCCAGAAATCAGCAAGGAGATAAACTTATCTGGACCAAGGAGAACCACGGTCACTATACAGTTAAAATTGGCTACCATGAGGCGATCAACCCGTATAGTTCTCTGCTAGCACCCCACAATCCTCCTCAACCTAATACTAATACTCAGGTTTGGAAAAGATTATGAAATTCCCGGGTCCAACCTAAACAGAAGTTACTAGTCTGGAGAGCTTTAACTGATGCTTTGCCTACCATGTCTGCACTCCTCCAGAGAGGAATTGTTAGAAGCTCTGGGTATCCTAGATGTCTTTCCCCTCATGAAGATGTCCTACATCTACTCATTAATTACTCGCAGTCTCAAGCACTTTGGGGATTAGCCTACCCTACTTTCCCTCAAGTATTTAATCATTGCCAGACATCCATTCTGGATTGATTTACACAGTGGATTCAATCCACTCCCTCACCTTGGATTTGGAACTCTTCCTAATAATTGTATGGTGGATTTAGATTGATAGAAATGATAAAGTATGGAAAAACACTACAAGAAAATGACCAATCAACCACAGAATTTAACACGGCAAGTTGAACCGTGGATAAATAACCACAACTTATACACGACTTATCCATGAAAAATTGATTAGAAACTTCACCCACAGAACATACACGGAATATACACGACATTATACACGGACATTATAGTCGTGGTTAAACCATGGCTGATGAACTCTTTACCTACGAACTATCCACAAAATCTTTTGTAGATAATAATTCCGTAGATATTTTCGTGGTTAATGAAATATTACCCATAGACTTCCAACGGAAATATTATCTACGAAATATTTCGTGTATAATTCATTGTTGATTTTACTTTTGGACCTACTCCGTAATATATATTACCCACAACTAGATGTTCGATGGAAATAGTAACTATAGATTATGTAGATTATTTTGTGTATACTCTATGATTAATTTTAAAATTTTTGAACAACACCATGTATGAGCAGTGGATGACTTTAAGTTTTTTAACAAATACTTGTGAATATTTCATGGCTCATTCTAAATTTATTTTATTCAAAGTGATAGATAATTAAATAAAAAAATATACAATTATTAAATAATCTTTCCTTGTTCATAGAATAAAAAGCAATGAATAATGACAATGTCAACTAAGATCTCATTGTTAAAACAATTGTTACATAAAATGTATTTCAAAAGAAATTCAAGTGCCATTTCCTTTCTTCAACGCATGAGACACAAAACTTTTAGATCATAGGCTTTGGATGCCAGTTGTAGCTCTAACCCTCTAACTATAGCCAGAAATGTCCAAGCAGCTTAAGACGGGGATCATGAGAAACAAAGCTCCGAGGTCATGGGCTTAGGTTCAACGGCAATAGGGAGAACAAAACCGAAAAACCTGGCAGATTGATTGAATAGGTTAAGTCTTTTGAGGAACAAATAAAAAATACAGTACAAGAGAAGCATTTTTGCATGATTGCAAAATATTAACCAAATGGGTTGCATATGCAGACCTCAACCAAGTAAAATATACTTTAACATTCGTCAAACAACAGAAGTAATAAAAGCTTCTATACTATCATCCACCATTTGTTACTGATTCCCATAAACCAGAATATAAGCAACTACTATATTACTTACAATTTACATAGTAAGAATAAAAAGAAAACATAACAGATATGCTAAAAAATAATTTCTAATTGACGGATCTCATAGATTAAATGCCTGCAAATTGACTAGAGTGCTTTTGACTTTTAAATATGAAATGACTAGTCAATCATATAATAACAAATGTCATAATATACAATATGAATATGTGAAACAAAACTTATGATATCATACTTAGAGCATAAATATGATATCCTAAATGTGATATCTACTTAGAGCCACACCACTACAACAATTAAGATCTCATTCCACATGTAAAACCGTATTATAAAGTTTAGTGTATTTTTTGTTGGGACAAAAAAGCACATTTAATAATTGTTTAGGAATTACTAACTTTTTCATGATGAATGACTCAAGGGGGCATTCAATTAATTAAATTGGCTCAGATTAAACAATAATATTTAGTCCAACATTATAAAAACAAAAAACCACAAAAAAAATAAATTTTCTTTTCTTAAAAAAAAAAAGCAAAAAAAAAAACCAACGTGCTTTTTATGGGCTGCCAAAGTGAGTTTTCCCTCCTCATTTTGCCTCCCAAATTTAGATTTTTTTTTAATACTCCCGCTATGGGCCGAGAGTTTAGCATCATCATTCTATCAACAACTAAGAAAGAAATACCCATCCAAATAACAATTCCAATCAGCGGCAATCTCCGAAATTCCATAACCTAACCTAAACTCTCACTTAGCCACCGTAGGTTATACCATGAATTGATTCTTTAGTTGAAAAACCTAAAATCCAAAAAATCCAGAACCTAAGATCCCAAAAACCAATCTGAAATCCTCCTCTCCGTGACCGTCGATCTACAATCATTGTATAATTAGCCGAACATCATCCGTTCAAAAGGTTCAATCTCCTTTGTCGTGTATGCTTAAATGTTTGTTTTGTACATGGATTTTTGTAGTCATATTTTATTTATGCAGATTACTACTTTTATGTTGTGTCCGTAAATTAACTATATATATAAACCTAGCGTCCATGCATTTTTCTTTTCCCCATTTTGCCAAAAGTGTCATTGCGCAATAAAAAATAGCGAATTGGTCCTCAGTTGGTACAGGCAAATTTTTAAGGGTTTTTTTTCATTTTTTATTTTATTGTCAAAGATCCAACTTTTTATTTTTTGATAGAAGTTTTCCGAAGATAGTACTATCAATTATCAAATGGATTGTTTTGAATTACATGTGCAAACCGAGTATTTTTAATTTTTACCAATAAAAATGGAAAAGTGTCCACGCGGTATGGGAACTTCCCAAGAAGCTTACAAGTTCAAACTCTGAATCTGTGTTTTGACTTTTCTTTATGAATGAATTTATGATGCTGATGATTAACTCTTCCTGGATCCGACATCGAAATGGGTCTAGTCCTCTGTCAATGATCCAACTTTGTTGGGTTTCATGAGTTGATTTCTTTTGAGATTTTTTATTTGAATATACATATATATATATATATATATGAGGAGGAAGTTGATGTATTCTATGTGTGTGTTTTTTTGTAATCAGTATACTACTTTGTCATGGTGGAAATATATTCATTTCGGTGCGTCTTGGTTTTGTTTCACTGTTCACCAAGCTGCAAGATTTCTTGAGTTTAGTAAGTGTAATATAACGTGTGGAGGGTTGATTTGAGTAACTTGTCTTTGCTTCTTGATAATATTAGTCATTATAATAATAATTATGATTCATGAATGTTATCGCTTGAAATTCTTTGTATTTGCATTTCATAATAATTGTATCTATGCACAAATATTAGAGGGCTCTTTTCATTTATCTATCTAATGGTCAATTTAATTATTTAATTATTTATTTATTTATTGCATATAATGTTTAGTTGCAAATATGACTAAGAGGAAAGCTGACAAGGGTGGCAAATCCACTCACCGAGGTGCCTCCACTCATGGAAGAGAGAAAAATTTACTACAAGATACTTCAGAGATATCACTTAGAAAGATCAATGACATTCCACGTTCAAGATCACAAATGGACAAGAACCACTGCCAGTCACCTGAAGGAATGGTTAGAGAAAGGGATTTTGTATCTCATGATGCTAGAGAAACAAATGATGTTGTTCATATAGCTGATGACAACTCTCAATCACAAATTCAGGATGGTAGATCAGAGATTAAGGTGTACAAGGGAAAGTAAGTATTCTAAAATATGTTATTGTTTTTAATCTAGTATGATGTCATATCTTAATATTGTATTCATAATTGTACCAGAGAGTGCGTATTTTCAGTACTGGTGCCAGAAAAACATCTAAAAAAATTTCTGGAGAAAATTGATGTTGGAGGGTTCACATGGTCAAAAGTTTCTCAACCCACCAAAGACTTTTATTTTGATGAGTTTAAGGTACTATTAATTATATTTTATTTTATTTTTTATAAATTTTTTTTGTTCAATAATAATAATTTTAAATGTGTAGAAATTCTTTAAATGGGAACCTCACCTTGAATGTGAAGTGAGGACCGAGTGGGATAAAAAGGCTGCCCGATGCTATGGCGAGTTCACAAGGAAGTTGAGAAGGAAGAATGAGAAACCAACTTGTTTGTCTGATAATGCTTGGAAACAATTCAAAAATCATTGGAGTAGTGAAAATATAGAAAAATGTCCGAAGGAAATTCTAGTAACCGACGGAGTGTGGAACAATCATCTCACACTGGTGGATCAATTTCCTATTTCGAGCATGAGATAAATTTGGTAAGTTTTTTACTTTTTATCTTTCTAAGGCAATTCTTAACTTGTATTTTCATGATCTTTGTGGACTAAAGATGACATTGCAGTGTATAATTACATTTAATGATTTTTCTATCTCATAATACTTTCTTTCTACTTCAATCCTTTAGAGTAATTTAATTTGAGTACTGTTATTGCAGGAAGCCAGAGAAGGTCGACCGCCAACAGCACATGAGTTGTTTTTGCACACGCACACGGAAAAGCATGATCGAATGACTTTTGTTGATAGTAAATCAAAAAAGACTAATGTAAGTATACGTTTAAATTTACACATGCATTTTTTGCTATATTTTGTGTGCGTTTATGGAGTGGTGGAGAGGGAATATTTATTCTTGTTGCTTAGTTACTAGAGATTTATTTTTTATTTTTTTTTCGTATACCTCTGGGACAATGTCATACGGTTAACAAAAAGACATAAGGCAAACCCTAAATTTGCACAAGGTGATCAATCAATAGACAAGGACGGCATTTTTTTGGAGGCTGCAGGCGGTAAGAAAAAAGGGAGAGTCTATGGCCTTGGGTGTCAATCATCTACATATTTTCCATCACCAATTGATAAGATAAGTGCAACACAAAATTCAGAAACAGAGTCACGATACAAGAAATCCATACTTGTTATGAGTGAGGAGTTGCGAGCTGTAAAGAAGCAATTACGAGCAGAAAGGACTAGTTGGAAAAATAAATTCAATGGCTTATGTGAGCATCTTGGTTTCTCGACTGAGATTTTGCAACCTAAAGGTAAGAAAAGTGTTGAAGTAGAAAATTATACTTTAGATAGTAGTAATGATGATAGTGATGGTGAAAGTCAATCACAAAAAGGTTCAATGGATTATGGCGATGAGGAAGATAGTGAGTCAGATAGCGGTTCAATGGATTCTGGAAATGAGGATGGTAGCGAATCCGATGGAGATTCAATGGATGGCAACCACCTCTCAGATTAGTTGATGATGAGGTATTTTGAATGTTTATGAGCTTCTTTTTGTCTTTTTTTTTTCTTTGAGCCTAGAGGTTCTTTTACAACCACCAATAATGGATTTGATTGTAATTCGTTTTTTAGATTTTTGGATTGTCATATTTTGGTAATTTATTTTGTATTATATCAATGAATGGTGGAGTATATTATAATAAATTATATTACATTTTATTAAATTTAATGTAATGTTGTTTTTATTTTTTTAAGCAATATATAATATTTTATTTCAAATTATCCAAAAATTTAAAAAATAGAAAGATTAATTTATCCACGGATGTTCTATGTGATTTTTCATGAATCTTCCGTGGTTAAATTTAAAAATAAAAATTTCTATTACGCACAATTATCCACGGACTATCCATGGACAACTTGAGGTTAAAATTATCCACAATTTTCTTACAAAAAGTTTGTGTTAAAATTAACCACGGGTTAATCATGATCAGTTCATGGATAAAATTAACCATAGATTATTCACGGTCAGTTCGTGGATAATATTAACCACATATTTGCTACGGAAAGTTTGTGGGAAACGATTAACCACGAATTAATCTTGCTGAGTTCGTGGATAAAATTATCCACAATTTTGCTACGAAAAGTTTGTGGAAAAGATTAACCATGTCTTACTCATGGTTAGTTCGTGGATAAAATTAGCAACGACTTTATTACGGAAGGTTCGTGGATAAATTTACCACCGAGTATCTACGGAATGTTTGTGGAAACTAACCACAGATTATCCACCACAATGTCGTGGATAAGTCGTCGTGTTTTCACCAAAAAGCCACCAATATCTACACACGGTATATCCACAAACATATCTGTGGATAAATTATCTATGGAACCTTTTTCCGTGGAAAAATGATTTGCAACGGAGCATATAACCACGTCTCAGTGTTTGTAGGTAAATCCGTAGGAAATTATGTTACCCACGGACTGTAAGGCAAAATTACACACAAACGTATCTGTGGGCAAATGGTAATTTTCTTGTAGTGAAACCGGATGAAGGATCCCAATATACTTTGGCTCCAAATTCAAAATGACTACTCCATACATAAAAGGTGTATCCATGGTCAGCGAAGAAGCATCCAGTCTACAACCACACATAGAGTAGAGGACGAGGATAATCATGCCACTATACTGGTCAATGGCTCTTTTGATCCTATCACACGGAATGTAGCTAGAGCGTGGAAGATTGTTTCCTTGACTAATATGATTATGCAAATGAAAACTGTCACAGTTCAGGCTCTATCTCTATTTCAAACGGAAGCATTGACATATCTTTTAACGCTTAAAGAGGCTTCCAAGTTTGGGCTAGAACGTGTTAAAATCCTCATGATTTTGAAATGCTTACTCTTGATCTTCACCACTCTCTCTTTCCGGTAGAGGCCCAAGGGATTGTCTCACTAGTACGCAACTTGAGTGCGAGTTTTACTTCTTGTAAACTGACTAAAGTTCGCAGGAATGATGTAGAAGAAGTCCATAATTTAGCATATAGTAAGATGTGTTATAATAGATTAGGTTCTTATTAATATAAGCAGGTATTTTTTCATCAAAAAAAGGGGTAGTGATTTTGCCACAACAAATATTAGCATCCAGTACTAACTTTGCTCTTCTTTCCAAATTTGTCCCTTCGGAAGTCAAAAACTATTATTCTTTCTCCTCTTCATCAGTTAATTAATATTTTTTCCCTATCTCTCCTCTTGCCATACCTCTCTATCTCATCGAAAGGGCCCCTTCTTGACCAAGACCTTGATTACCAAACCAGAATGAACACTTTCTTCTCATAGGCATCAACAATGGCTCCTCATAACCGTCATGATAAAATCCAGCAACAATCAATTCCCTTCCCTAATTCCGAACAATACGTTGAATCTTCTTAGATGTCACCAAAGGAGGATGTTTCTCCATGTACTCTCTCAACTGCACTAATGAATATAGTGATGGGTGAGCCTCCAGTTGACTGATATAGGCAAATCCGACTTCTGCATCCTCAGTAGCTACTTTGCTTGCGATGGAGATACAAGTGTATTTGCTCCATGGACCTAAGTTTTTGTTCCTCAGTAACAACTCCCTATATCATTATCTGATCTCAAAATGGTGTGCAGAACCTTCTGAGCTTTTCAAATAGTTTGATTCGACTTCCAGAAATTGGGATTCCAGTAGGATCTTGATATAGTCGGGTTGCCCATACTCGAGCCCGACCCGTATCAACTACTGCTATGCACCTCTCTGTATCACCAGAAGCTTCCGGCACCAAATTTTTTCAAAGGGAGGAAATACAATACAAGATTCACTAAACTCACTATAACTAAACATACAATCATATTACGGTTAAGCAAATGAGGAATTCTAACTCTTTAACATGATTTGTCAATATAAAATTGAACTCCAATTATATTCATGAGACATAAACCATGCTAACATTATAGATGAGGACTTCTTCATCAATGGTAAATTATTTATAAAAAAAAAAAAGGGCAAATTTTTCCCCCAAAATTTCCCAGGAAAATAAGATCCACTAAAAGAGAAAACCATACTATACAAATATCCCAATAAATACACAAAATCAATCAGAGTAAAATATACTGCCAATTGCATTAGATTAATAGAAATATCTAAACTTATCATTAGATTCCAACCATTAAACTTGAAAATTGATTAAATTTTCACAAAAGTATCACCTTGTCATTTTTTTTTTTTGAAAAAAAAGTGTAACATTTAATTATAAACTTGGGAGAAGCTGATGAAGAACTTGCAGACAAACATCAACATGAAAATTAAAAAGGATGTCGGCTGCTATGGGTCGAATTGACAGTTGCGACAGCCGGTAAGGGAAGGAGAGCAAAGAAAGAAAAGATTGGACTGAGTAAGGGAGGGGATATTAGGTTTGACTTCATAAAGGATAAATTTGGAAAACAATGTAAAGTTTGCACTGGATGCTAATTATTATTATGGCAAAATCCCCACCATTATTGAAGATTTGAGTACTACTAAAACTAGCTGTATTAATCCCTCCATGTTTTTTTTTCCTTCTGCTTGCCGGACAATGAAGTAATCCAAAATTAATGATTCAAATCTTGTCAAACTTTTTTTAACTCTCCCAATTATAGACCCTCAGGTTTATAAAACTTAATTTAACTTTAAAAAAACAAATTAATTTTGCTTATAATAGACTTTTAGATTTATAGTTATCAGTCCAAAATCTGAATAAGAAGATCAATATTAACTTTTTTCTTCTTTTTTTTTTTTTGGTAGTTTCTTTATTTTCAAAAGGCGCAAATTTCAAAACTTATTTTATTAGGCCATGATCAAATATTTCTGTTCATTTTAGTAAACTATGCGTATCTAATAATATGAGTATAATGTTGTAATAGCATAAATTAAGTTAGAGATCATACTCCTTCCATCATTTTATGTTGTATACTAGATTTTTCTTTCTGCATAGCACGGAACACATGTTAAAATACTGTATTAAGTTAATAGTTCGATGTAAAAAACTCTTTGGGGCAGTTATTTGAATAAGATTGACATTAAAGTCACTGATTTTGAATATAAAGAAAATATTTTATTTTGAGATTTTTTATAATTTTGGTCATGGAGTTTTAATATTTTTTTTCAATATGAACGGTGAGACGGTGCCATTCTTTTAGTGGTGTCACATGTGAGCCAAAATGAATTATTAAAATTTATTCTAAAACCATTATTTTTGTAAAAATAACTTTTATTATATTAAAAAATCAAAACTACCAAGTAGTGACTTGATATGTTTTAGGCAGAAAAACTTTTAATTATGGTGTGATATGTATATTTCATTTTCTCTTTATCGTTATTTTGATAATAAAAAAATAGAGATTTTTTAAAATAAAATTACGTAATTTTGTTTTAGAATGAAAATATTTCATGAAAACACGACAACTTATCACCTTTTCTCACTTAGAATTCTGTTTTAATATGATATGATAATTATATTGATTAAGACATAGAGAGTCTACTCTTTACTATTATTGTACATCTACCAACGTGAATTAAAAACCACATTCATTAGTCACATCTATGTTAAGATGCATAAGGTTATTAACACGGTTCAACAAAGAATAATGCTGTATGCAAAAAAAAAAGTATTTTACGAGAAAAAACCGTGAAAGAATGATGTTGATTAAATCATAACTCTTCAATTTTACTCTTCATTTAAGATTTATGTATTTAAGGTTATGTATGTAAGGTCAGTGAGATAATTTAGATTTAAGTCACATTATTCATTGTGAATTGTAATTTTTACCTACATGTGTCACTATTCTTTAGCAAATTATGATTATTAATGGAAAAATATGGATGAGGGGTAGTGGAAATGTTTAAATTAATAAAAGAGGCATGACTTAAAGATAATTTTTATTAAGGGCAGTTATTTATTTGAAAAGAATTATAAAATAAAAATAGTTGTGTATTGACATGGTTATCCTCAAGATTAGAGTAAGACTTAGCTTCTGATTACACTTTTTCCTTCATTTCGTTTTTTCCTTTTTTTTTTAGTATTACCCCTTTTATTAATTTATCTCTCTCCACTGACCTTCATCCAAGTTTTTCCATTATTTATTAATTTAGATATCTAAAATAAAGCAACCATAACATCTCCACAGCATGCCAATCCACAAAACAAAAAAATAAAAATAAAAATTCTTGTGTCTCAAAGAAGTAATCTACTTTATTAACTAAACAATACAACAAAGTATAGGTAATTTCTATTGGGTTGGGGAATACTTTTTTTTCTAATGGTTGGACATTTCTCTTGTTACTTTTAGTGCTACTATAGTGAAAGTGCTTATTTATGTGCCCTTCGCGTAGATATGGAGGGCCAGAAAGAGGCTCTCTGTATCGGTGAGGATTGTACAGAAAATAAGGTATCATTAAAACTCCTGTTTATCCAGATACTTGGGTACCAGAAAATGGAAACTTGGTCACTTGTCTTCATGC